TGATGTTCGGTAGGTTAGGTGTATTAAATGTGTTTTCCACTTGTGCTGGGTTTATTAGGACACAGCCCCATGGATAAATCAGGGAAGGTCTGTACAGAGAAAAGAGGGGAAAGTCAAACGACACCTTGAGGAAGCAGTCAGCCAAACTCAAACTGTGGGACTTTCTGCAACAGTCCTGATCTTTTAAAAGAGTCAATACCATAAAAATGTTCTAGATTAAAAGAGACTAAAAAGACATACCAAAAATACAGTGTATGATCCCTTTTGAATCTAGGTTTTGTTTGTCTTTTAAAAAGCTCTAAAGAAAGTTTTGCAAAGAAATGGGAATATTTGAATATGAGCTGGACCTCAAAAATTGTTGGGCCCTCTTAATATTATTCTGTGAATGCATAACTTTTCGTATGAATGAATAACTGTATGTATGAATGAATACGTTTTGAAAGCTTTTCTGTCATAGTGCTCACACAACGATAAAAGGATAGACTATCCTTCTACTCTACCAAAGCCGAAGAATTCTGGGACACACTTGACATGCATTTCCAGAGGCTGCTACATTCACATCTTTTCTCCCAATTTGGTCTCCCATAGCCTCTTTAAAAGAATACACAGAGATATAAACATTAAAACTCTGAGAATTTTTATGAAAATGTAAAATTCTTTTCTAATCATAGTTTTTCACAGCGATCATTAATTCTGACATCCATTTATGTTTCCATTTTTGTGGAATTGCCAGCTTGGTTTTAAAACCTATAGATTTCAGTTGCATCTTATAATGTGGCTTACGAACATCATGTTCCTTTAGGCTATAACCACATTTAGGTTGAGCCATGTAGCATTTATCAGCATAATTTTCAGCAAATATTGTGAAATTTTTAGAAAAGATTCAAAATTATGGTTTCAAAATAGATGTATTGGCATTGCCAGAAAGAAACTCTGCAACCTCAGCCGTGCTGGCTGTGTGGGCGCACACTGTTCACATTTGTTCGTACATGTGGCCTCAGTGGGCAGGCCAGCCAGTCAGACTTGTTAACAATCCTGACACGAGTTAATAGAACAAAAGACGCTGAGAAACCACAACAAGCAGCTGTGTCTTTTGTGTGTGTGTGTCTGTTTTTAAGAGCTGGAACATGAATGTGTAGTCATCTTTCAAGAACTGTTATTTTGTCAGCCACACAGTTGGATTTCTGTGATAAGGTTGAAGATTTTGGAAACATATAGTTTAGTTTTGTTTTTATAATATCAAAGTATTCATGTAAAATTCTATTGACAATAAACACAGGAAGAGTTAACATACTGCCGGAAGTGAATTCAGAGCAAGATGCTAATCAAATTAAAGAACTAGACAAAAGGAGGTAGAGACCCATTGAAAATGGGCAGTGACGTAATGACTACCACCTATAAGCCCAGCATTGTATATTCAAAAAGCAATAAAGTCGTAAAGAAGATCTGTGAAAATGCACTTTCAACTTAGAGGCAACTCCAAATAAAAATTTACTGGTTAGATTTTGAATTTGGACATGCACTTTCCAAGTATGAGGTTAAAAATGAATGTATTTGTCTTGGGAGAGATTTTTGATTCATCGGAAAAGGAGTAGGCAAAGGCTGTCTCGTTTCAGGTCCATTTAACCAATACTCACTGCGGGAGCTGCCCTAAGCATGGCGGGCAATAGCAGATTCCTGCTCTCAAGGAGATTACACAGTACCTGAGGAGATAAGAAGCATACGCACCTGCCTACAATGCAAAGCAGCGTGTTATGAGTGCTAGAAACGAGGGCAGCAAAACTCAAAAGAATCTCAGAGGAGGGAGAAGCCAGAGGACTTGGGGAGAGGTCTTATGGTAGACCTTAAAGTATGGATTCTTGCAGCGAAAGATGGAGATGGCAGGGCAAAGGCTTAGTCCTGGGAGAATTTCTGTGGCTTGTGAGTTAACAGTGTCTCCCCTCTGTGTTCATATGGAACCCCATGCCCACATCTGTTATAGCATTTACCAGAATAGATTATTAAGGTCTCTTTAACACACTCGCTAGACTGCAGTTTCCTAAAGGACAATTAAAATCCTCATTATTTGCAGATTCTGTATTTGTGTATTCGCATCCTTGCTAAAATGTATTTGTAATCCCCCCAGTTAATCCTTATAGCACTTTTGCAGTTATTCATGGACACGTGTGGAGCCACGAAAAGTTTGAGTTGCCTGGTGCACGTGTTTGCAGCTGGGGTTGAACAGGACCACACTCTGCCTTCTTGTATCCGCTCTCATTTTGTAAACAAGTGTCGTCTTCACAGTATTTAGTGCCACGTTTTTTGCATTTTCGTCCTTTGAGCTGGTGATCTTCCTGTTTAAAATGTTCCCCGAGCATAGTGCCAAAATGCAAGGGGGCTGTGACGTGCCTCACAGAGAAAATGTGTGTATTGGATTGCCCGTGGGTTCAGTGTTAGTGAATCAACAATGTGTAGTAAGTAAGGTGTCTTTAAACAGAAACACACATAAAACAAGATTATGTATTGATCAGTTAACGAAAATATTCTCACCAGAGGCTCTTAGGAACAAAACTTTATATTCCCCCAGGAGCAATGATTCAGTATCTACAAATTCACTGTTTGCAGTGACTTTATACAGCGAACTACCCTGAGTAATAAGAATTGACTGTATCTGTCACTTCCGTATGCTTAGCACTTAGTGTTTAGTAGATGGCCAAAGAGTTTTATGAGCAAACACCCGAATGTAGGGAGTTTGGAGGAATAAACCAGCTCATTGGAAATGTTAAGTACTGAATTCAGGAACTGGGGTGTGAATACCATGCAGGCAGCGGGAAGCTGTCGGAGACTGTCTCCTGGGTGTGACCTCTCAGTTGTGAACTGTTCACCAAGCCTTGACTGAACGTGCTGGGTGGTGTGATGGACAGAATGAATATCCCCGGGGCCCTGCTGGCAAGGAGATACTGCAGAAGCTCTCAGAGCTCCTTCAGCAAGATTAATTTCCCAGGGATTTATGGGATGGATTGGAATTGAGAGAAACTGGAGACAGAAAACCAAGTTAGGCAACTACTGTAGCAATCCTGATATGAGGTAGTGGAGACCTGGATTGGGATGCTGGCAGGGAGAACAGAGAAGCAGGGGGAGATACTTGAGTTATTTGAAGAAAATCCACAGTATGTGACTCGATACAGAGGATGAGGGAGATGGAGGGACAAAATTAAACTCTGAAGTTTGCTACCCGTGACTTTGTTAGTTCCTGTGTTTGTAGATGTTTTTAAAAAATATTTTCCTCATCTAAGGTAATTACTCTGTGCTGTGCTGTCTTTTAAGACATCTGTAATGGGGTCCCAGTCCCCATCTGTTGTAACTAAGCAGCTGATGAATTGCCTAGGGTTTGGGGTGATGGTCAAGGACAGTACATCTGGTTTTAGAATGAATGGTGAATTTTTATTGCTAATTGTGAAATTTTTCCTGGGGGGATCCAGAGTTGGATTATGCCTCTTTTTAACTGAAAATATGTGCCATCCAGGTGACTTCCACTCTGATGACAAGCTATGTCCCTCATTGTATGGCTAAATATTCCTAATGCAACTGTTACTGCTACGTTAGTGAGAGAGTAGGATGGATTAACATTCACTATTGTTCTTTGAGAAATTGCATGTGAAAACGTAGAGACCCAAGGATCTCCGTTAATTACACTTTCAGTGGCATATGTAAACCAGTAAAGCTTTTTTAAGTTTGCAAAGTAATTCCTTCATTGTGAAGTACACTGTGTCCAGTATCTTTCTTTATAGTTTCTATAAATCAAGAAATAAAACTTTATTTTCCCTCAGCATGATACAGACAGAAAGCTTTAGTTTTAGAAAGCTATTTAGTTAAACTTTGGGTTAAAAAACTTGCTCAATGTGCTTTTTTCTTATTAAAGATCATCTTTTAAAGAGATAGTTTATATCTTACTATAAGCTATTTGCATTACCAACTGTTTTATAAGGTTATGGAAAGCATATCCAACTTGGAACCCTTGGAATAATACATTTTTTTTTCCTGGCATATGTACTCAGATAATCAAGAAATGTAGTTTTTTAATGTCAATTTTCAAGAAAAAATTTGAATGGTGCCAAGCTGGTAGTAGTTATTCTATCTGTGGCTAAGTACTACGTGTGTTTAACTCAACTTGAGGTTCAAAGTCAAAGGAAGTTTGATGTTCTTTATCTTTTTTCATATGCTCTGAGTTTATCTTTCTGAACAAAGCCGTGTTTTAAAGGATATGAAGCTTTGTTTGACCTTCTTCTCAACTGCAAGTACTTGATGGACCATAATGCAAGGTTATGCTCCCTGGACTGACTGATACATAAACAGAAGGCAGATGGTGTGGAGGTGCCTCTGATGATAATTCATTTTGCAGCTAGTCAGGAAGATATCTTGATTACAGTGTGTTTAAGTAACTATAACACAGTCTGCAATGTTGGTCTCGCTGGGAAGGGAGCACATGGAAAACAAGTTATGTGTTATTCGTGCCCCACAAAGCATGCAGTGTGTTGTACTGATTTTAATTCCTAGTGCTGGATTAGTACTGGAAGAGGTTAAACTGTGTCATGCAGTCCGGTAAGTCAGTTAAACACAGACCAAATAGAAAAGGTAACTGCACAGCTTTGAGCCATAAATATTTGTCTTGGAAAGTATTTAGATGTTACTATATGAAAGAAACCAGTATTTTGACATTTAGGTAACAGTCTGTATACAGCTAATTAAAGAATTACATGGCTTGATTTTCAGTTTATGTGACTCATAACTATCATGGAGCTTTGCTTTCTGTGTCAACGAGCTTAAAACTGAAATCAGAGAGCTGACAACTCAACAGCATGTTACGTCCCTGCTGCTGTTAAAGTTTTGAAAAGAAGTAGCTAAGCAAAATGTCAAAAGGAGAAAAAATAATTATAATTGTGTGAATAGATGGGCCATTTACATTTTTATTTTCATGTACTAATTACAGTCTCTACCTCTGTTCTTTTGTTTCACAACAGGATAATTGATCACTTAGATGGAGTTCGTTTGTTGTGGTCCCTACTAAAAAATCCTCACCCAGACGTGAAGGCCAGTGCAGCTTGGGCCCTCTGTCCCTGCATCCAGAATGCAAAGGTGAGAAGAGACTGCAAATCAATCCATTCTAGAATCTCTAATACCATATTGAGTAATGTCACCACAGGTCACTAATTGCTTTTCACTTCTTTTTGCTCAGATTTATCTGGGGGAAAAAAATGTGCTGAACGTTTGCGCCAAATTAATTTTTGAGCAATACCTTCTCCTGGTCAGTTTTTATATGTAAAATGAAACTGGGCTAAGATGGCAGTGCTTATTACCATGTTCTACATGGCTGGTGCAATCAAAACCACTACCCCAGGTAAATTAGGGGGAGGAAAGTTGACTTATCTTATCTCTTGGGTGAAAAGAAAATTGCATTACTGCTACTTTCAGAAGCTCAAGATGACTTCTATGTTATTTATTGTCTGAATTACTACAATGAAAAATCACTAAGTTCTTTGTTACCTTGAAAAAGTCACATAATTTCATGAATCCCACTTTTCTTATCTGTCAATAAAGACTGGATATAAAACCTATGGATAAAATTTTTATATGAAAAAAGACTGAACTGGAAGTTTCTGAAGTCTTTTAGCTCTTCATTTGTAAATTTTATTATTTTCTTTGAGGATCTCTTTGCAGCCCATTTCTGTTATCTTCACTTAAATTTCTTTTCCTATAGGTTTAGGGATTTCCCTTTAAGATCCTTGTTGCTAGAGATATTTCTCTCTGTTGAGTATTTTTATCTAAAGTATTTTTATTTAAAGCATTTAATTCCTGTAATAAATTTAACATGCCTCTATCTTCCTAAATATTTGTGACTAGAAGTAATCTTTTGTAAAAAGTGGATTGTGATATATAGCAATAGTAGAAAAGACTTATTACAAACTGGTTAATGGAACCATTTTTTTATAACAACAAAAAAGGAAAAATAAAAATAAAAACACCTCAAATGTCAACCTACAGGAAAATGGACAACAGGATGACAGTACAGTCATGACATGTCATACAGTGCAGCAGTGAAAAATGAATGTATTTCAGCAATGTGTTCATCAATATTGATACATCACATAAACATATTGAGCAAAATAAAAACAAGTTTCAAAAGCAGACATACAATATAATCCTATTATATAAGGTCCAAAGAAATTTTTTAAATGCAAAATATAAATGATATTATTTAGGGAGCAAGAAAGAAGCCTACTGGAGAAAGATTGCTACACATCCTTAAAGAATATCTTTAAGGATATTCTTTAAGAAAGACCTTAATCTTCCTTAAGGAATCTTTAATATCTTTAAGGATCTTAATTATCTTTAAGGAAGGTTAATGGTATCAGAGGCAAGCCAAGATTCATAAGCAGAACTAACTTCAGAGGAAAGAGATAATGTAAAGAACAGAAGATAACATTAAGTTTTTAAAATTAATATCCTCAGAATGACCCAAGGGATACTACTAGGCCCAAAAAGCCTGAATAAAAAAGAAATATTCATAGATTAAGAAAGAACTTTTGGAAATTAAAAATATATTTGACAAAGTAATCAATTTAATAAAAGAGAAATACTAGGTTATGTGTGATGCTGGGATATGACTACGTAATTATCTGGATGATAAGGTCTAGTAAATAGCTAAAAATGTAAAGTAAAAGTAAAAACTAAACAGGAATCGCAAGCACACAAAAAGAAAGAGAGCAACTGAAAAGAAGAAACAGTCATTTTTTTTTTTTAAAGGGGGGGGGTGGTTTCTGTAAGCTGAAGAGTTGAAGAAAGACTCTAGTCTTCAGATTGAAAAGATCCATTTAGTGCCAAGTAGGGAAAAAGAATTTATCTACGCCTAGACACAAATACAAATTTGGTGTTTCCAGAAATTAAAGGAAAGGAAAAAGTTTCATAAGAGTAAGAATCACACCAGTATTAGGCTTAACATCATTCACAATAAATTCTACAAGAAAAAGGAACAAAAAAGCCTTTACTGTCTTTAGAGGGAAACACTTTTTATGCTGGAATTCTATACCCTGCAAAACTAGCATTCCAGTGAGAGTAGACTAAGGACAGAATAAAGACATTGAGCCTTTAGAAATGTCAGCACTCAGGAAAGTTATCCCCCAGGGGTCTTCTTTGAAAAAAAATGACAGTGTTTTCCAGCAAAACAGAAGATTCTAAGGAAGAGAATAACATGAGTTATAGAAACAATAATGAACAAATAAATCATTAGAATTTATAGCTAGATATGAATTTGTATTGGTAATATGGCTTTCAAATTTTGTCAGATTATTAAGAAAGAATTTCTTTAAAAGTAATGGCATAAAGTAAAATGAAAGCAGATGGTGTTGTCACAGTAACAATCTGAATCTAAACTACCAGATGATTCGGAAAGCATCTTAGGGAGTGGAAGGTAATAGGTAAAAACATGCCAAAAGTCTTTCCTTTTCCTAGAGAAGGGTGTTAGAGATACTGGTTAAATCTCAGTCATCATTGAAAATATGATGAATTTAATATTATCATTGGTGAGATTCCATTTTGTATAGATAACATTTCTCTCAGTGCTGTTATTACGTGTAAACTGTGTCCTGTATTCGTATGGGCTTCAACTCCAAATCCGCCTATTTATCTATTATTAGCTTTAAAAGGTATTCCAGCATTTCCACATTCGTTATTCTTGCCCCGGATTTCTGTCCCAAATATCCAACTGGTCTCCTTTGCTGGCAACCCAAACTGAGCCACACTCAGACTTTAAGAACAACCCATCTTGTCTGTGTTTAAGCCCTTGGCCCCAAGGCCAGTCTACACCCAAGCACTCATAAAGAGCTCCATTTCTCCTGAACCTCTCCTGCCTTCCACTGCTCTCCACTCCCACCAACTCAGCTTCTTTGAACTCTTCTCAGCTCCCTTCCTACCACTCCTGGGGGAAGGAAAGACCCATGAGGATCTCTGCTTGTTCACTTCTCTTACCAGGAACTTCTGTATGCATTTTCATTTGGGTAACATGAACATCTGAAGAGTTTTGAACAAGGAAGAGACATTAGCAGATTGGCTCACTAGAAAATGTGTGAGTGGGTGATTGATTAGGCTATTACCATGCTTCAGAGGAAAGTAATTAGAGTTTGACCTAATACAGGGACAGTGTGGGTGAAGAGGAAGAGCAAATACAAGAAATGACTGGGAAATAGTATCAGAAATTGGTGAGTTATTGGATGTTGGCTATGAGAAAGAGGTGAGAGAGAGTATGAATTTTTGTTTTTGTTTTGGTGTTTTAACTCTGACAACTAAGTAACCTTAGTTGCTAACCTTGTTAGTAACCTTTACCAAACACGGGAAGAACACAATTTGGGGAAAAGATGGGGGATTTGCTTTCATCCAGGTATAGATGTCCAGTCATTTGAATATATGAATCTGGGTGTCAGGAGAGATTCTGGACTGGAGATATATATATATGGGAGCCATCAGTATGTAGGAGGCGGTTGAAGTCTTGCGCAAAGATGAACGGCAGAGGGTGTGGGCGACGAGAAGACCAATGACAAAGAACAGTCACAGAGGAAGACCGACGTGTGATGAGATCACCAGGAGAGGGCGATTTCAAGAAAGACAAGAAAGGAAGCAACGCCAAGAAAGGAGGAGTGTTCAACAGTATCATTTGCCCCTAAGAGGTCATTTGCCTTTGAAAACTGAAAAGAGCACATTAAATATGGAAATTAAGAGATCATCGGTCATAGACATTTCAGTTGAGAGGTGAGAGTTTAAGTCCGTGGTACTGGAGTGAGAAATGAATTAAGGGGAGAAATAGATACAGAGAAGATTAATAGTGCTTTCTGGAAGCTGAGCTGTTAATATCAATAGAAGGAGCCAATATGAAATCCGGAAGACAGTTTAGGCTGAGGGAATGACTAATATGGGAAAGGCATGAGAGAGATGGAGAGGGTGTGTGTAGGTAATAGATGGAGAAAGGAAGAATGGTTGCATGGAAGGAAGGAAGAAAGCATAGCTCTCACTGTGCCTAAACCTTCTAAGCACATTGCTCTAAGTAGAGTAAAAAACTTCTGGAGCACCAAGCAGAAGGACACTTCTAGAATATACATAACTCCTGACCGTGGAGCCGTGTGACGGGAAGGACTTCTGGTAAGAAGCACTGAAAAATGCAGCAAAATGCAGCTTCTTACTTCATCCAGGCAACAAACACATGCCCAGTCTCCTGTCTCCCTGTCTATCTATCTGTCTATCTGTCGGCCTATCTATCTATCTATCATCTATCTATCTGTCTATTATCTATTTATCTATCATCTATCTATCTAGTATCTATATATCTATCTTTCTGTCATCCAATTCAGAAGCGACAAAGTTATCAAAGGGCTCTGAATTAATACCCTTCTGTGAATTTAAAGACTTGAAGTCACACATTTCTTAGCTGACAGTAAGTATAATTTGGCTGATTATTTCAACAATGAGGACTGGCTTTTCTGATTACATAATATAGAAGACAGTTCCATAAATTGAATTAACTAAATATGCAGAGTCAAAATTTGATGTCAAATATATCACAGAATTCATCTTTTATGACTAAATTTATGATGAACATTTTTAGATGTCAATTCGAAATAGATGAGGATGCATACCTTTTCAAAAATGTATTGAGATATGTGAGCAAAAATTTTGAAGACTATTTGGTCTAGTGTATCAGGTCTGGCCCTTGAAATGGGAGAGAAGGAAATTTAAAACATCTTTCCTCAAGAAAATACCCTAATTTGCAAGACTCTTGTCCTTATGAAAACTCCTATTTTCTAGGACCAGGAGGTGAATATTATACTGGTTTCCTTTCTTGCATACTTGTAGAACAAAACTCATCTTCCCAAGTCAGAAGGATACCTCAGGGGTCAAGTGCAAGAGAGGTCATGTGCTCAGGCAAGAGGAAAGAAAGCACATTTATATTAAAAAATAATATCTCATTATTCATATAGATCCCAATCAAACCGTGGTTTCAGACAGCTCTATCTAATAGAAATTTCTGTGATAATGGAAATGCACTCTTCAGATATTGCAACCAGTAGCCATGTGTGGGTTTTGAAATG